GTCCCGCCCTCCCCGCTGCTGCTGCTGCTGCTGCTGCTGCTGCAGCTGCTGCTGCTGCTGTTCGCGCGTGCTGCAGCTGCCCCGGACCCGAGCAGCCCCGGCTGCCGCAGCAGCTGCCAGCGCAGCAGACCCGCCGCCCGCCCCCCGCTGCTGCTGCTGCTGCTGCTGCTGCTGCTGCTGCTGCTGCTGCAGGCAGGATGGGGTGCGTGCCGTCGAAGCAAAAGAGCCCCGCAGCAGCAGCTGCTGCTGCTGCTGCTGCTGCTGACCAAAAGAAAAACAGCGAAGACCGAACTCAGGCCCAAACCTCCTCCGGCAACGAAGCCAGGGGCCCCGAGAAGCAGCAAAAAGACGCCATGGCCATGACCCCAGGTAAACCCCCTGCTGCTGCTGCTGCTGCTGCTGCTGCATATGTGCTGCTGCTGCTGCTGCTGCTGCTGCTATTCCCGCTCCCCCTCCCGTGCTGCTGCTGCAACATCCCCTCGCCCTCCCCTCCCCTCCCCCACATCCTCATCAGCAGCTGCTGCTGCTGCACTCCTGCTGCTGCTGCACTCCTGCTGCTGCTGCACTGCTGCTGCTGCTGCTGCTGCTGCTGCTGCTGCTGCTGCAGGCATGTACATAGTGCAGCAGCGGGGTCACCTGAGCGACCGCTTCCAACGCGTCAAAAAACTCGGCAGCGGCGCCTACGGCGAAGTCCTTCTTTGCAGAGATAAACAGACGGGGGCTGAAAGAGCTGTTAAGATTATCAAAAAGGCCTCAGTGGCGGCCCCCAGCAGCGGGGCTTTGTTGGAGGAGGTGGCGGTGCTCAAGCAGCTCGACCACCCCAACATCATGAAGCTTTACGAGTTCTTCGAGGACAAACGCAGCTACTACCTCGTCAGCCAGCTAGCTAGTCTGGCTAGCTAGCTAGCTAGCTAGCTAGCTAGGGGTCTAGCTCGCTATTTGGCTAGTTGGGGTAGCTAGCTGGGTAGCTAGCTGGGTAGCTAGCTGGGTAGCTGGTAGTTGGTGGGCAGCTAGCTAGCTAGCTAGCTGGGTAGTTGGGTAGCGAGCTGTGTAGCTAGCTGTGTAGCTAGCTGGGTAGTTGGGTGTCTAGCTAGCTAGCTAGCTAGCTAGCTAGCTGGGTAGTTGGGTAGCTAGCTGGGCAGCTAGCTGTGTAGTTGGGTGGCTAGCTAGCTAGCCACCCAACTACCCAGCTAGCTAGCTAGCCATCCAGCCATCGTCCCACTGTCCTGCCTCCCCCTCCACCTCTCCCCCTCTCCCCCTCTGCACCTCCCCAGCTAGCCAGCTAGCCAGCTAGCCACCGTTCTCTGCCCCTGCGTGCAGGTGATGGAAGTATACCGGGGGGGGGAGTTATTTGACGAAATAATATCTCGCCAGAAGTTCTCAGAAGTGGATGCAGCTGTTATTATGAAGCAAGTCCTCAGCGGAGTTGTTTATCTCCACAACCACAAAATAGTCCACCGAGATTTAAAGCCGGAAAATCTTTTGTTGGAAAGCAAAGCCAAAGACGCGCTTATTAAGATTGTCGACTTCGGGCTTTCTGCGCACTATGAGGTTGGGGGCAAAATGAGGGAAAGACTCGGCACGTGAGCTTTCTTTTGGGGTTTTTTTTTCTTTTTTTTGGGGATTTTTGGCTTTTGGGGGGGAGTTTTTGGGATTGTTTGGGGGGGTTTGGGATTGTTTCGGGGGGGGGCTTTTTGGAGGTTCTTTCGGGCTTTTTTGGAGGCTTTTTTGGGCTTTTTTGGAGCCTTTTTCCGGCTTTTTTGGAGACTCTTTGGGACTTTTTTGGAGCCTTTTTCCGGCTTTTTTGGAGCCTTTTTCCGGCTTTTTTGGAGGCTTTTTCCTTCTTTTTTGGAGGCTTTTTCCTTCTATTTTGGAGGCTTTTTCCTTCTATTTTGGAGGCTTTTTTTTTTTGTCTTTTTTTGGGAAATGGGTCTTCTTTGGGTGGTGTTTGGTGGGGTTGTTGGGGGAGAAGAGGGGCGGCTTGTTTCTGCGGAGAAGTCCTTCTCCCGGGCTTTTCAAGGCCCTGCTGTGCATTGAATTGCATGCAGTGCATGCAAGTGCATGCAAGTGCATGCATGTGCATTGAATTGCATGCAGTGCATGCACTGCATGCAATTGCATGCAGTGCATGCAATTGCATGCAGTGCATTTAAGTGCATGCAAGTGCATGCAAGTGCATGCAATTGCGTTTAATTGCATGCAGTGCATTGAGTTGCATGCAGTGCATTGAGTTGCATGCAGTGCATTGAGTTGCATGCAGTGCATTGAATTGCATGCAGTTGAATTGCATGCAAGTGCATGCAAGTGCATTTATTTGCATGCAGTGCATTGAAGTGCATTGGATTGCATGCAGTGCATTGAGTTGCATGCAGTGCATTGAGTTGCATGCAAGTGCATGCAGTGCATGCAGTGCATGCAATTCAAGTGCATGCAGTGCATGCAGTGCATGCAGTTCAAGTGCATGCAGCGCATGCAGTGCATGCAGTTGAATTGCACGCAGTGCATGCAATTGCATGCAAGTGCATGCAGCGCATGCAGTGCATGCAATTGCATGCAAGTGCATGCAGCGCATGCAGTGCATGCAGTTGAATTGCATGCAGTGCATGCAGTGCATGCAGTTCAAGCGCATGCAGCGCATGCATGCGTTTGCATGCAGGGCCTACTACATAGCCCCCGAAGTGCTGCGGAAGAAGTACGACGAGAAGTGCGACGTTTGGTCTTGTGGAGTAATTCTTTATATTCTCCTTTGCGGCTATCCGCCCTTCGGAGGCCAAACTGACCAGGAGATCCTCAAACGCGTCGAACGCGGAAAGGTGCATTGCTGCTGCTGCTGCTGCTGCTGCTGCTGCTGCTGCTGCTGCTGCTGCTGCTGCTGCTGCTGCTGCT